TTATTTCTGGCAAAAGTATAGGTGGCTTATATGGAACATTGATTATTGGTTTCAAGGTTTGCTGAGAACTAGGAATGCTCAGGTGTATATTTGGCACATGGATTATGCAGTAGATTATGAACAAAACACAAATATATGGGGCTGTCTTAGGATATCCTTATATCTTACCTTAACCATACTATGGTGTTATCTTACAGTGTGGTTTGTCAAATTGTATATGGAGAGATCACGAATGCAGGAGGCGTCTAACTGGCGTGGCTTCAGCTGTGGGTCTCTTTAAACCCCTGCAATAAACAAGGCACAATTTGGAATGGGTATATGGATCACAAGAGATCAAAAGGGCAGAGCACCATAGGGAGCATATGGATTTATCTCAATGTAGTAAGCAATGAGTATTGCAATGTGAAACTATGTTTCACATACTTTCAGAACAAGATACCATTTGGGAGTAATATATTTGTTCAAGGGTCTCATTATACCCGTTTGCGATGTTCTCAGGAGCAACCTGTATATTATTTTTTCCATGAGAGTGATAAGCTGGAATTGTAGAGGAATGAGAAGTAAATAGACAATTGACTATCTCAGGGAAATATGGCACAAACATAAACCAGATTTTCTGTTTCTATCGGAAACAAAACAAGATTTTGAGTTTGTACAAAGGTTTCAAGCGCATTTTGGCTATGCGAATTTGGTTACGGTAGATCCAGTTGGAAGGAGCGGAGGTCTCGCTCTTTTCTACAACAATGAGTATCAAGTAAAGACCTTATACTCGAGTAATCGGATGATTGATGTGGAAGCAGTGGCGATTGGGAAATAGGTTTTTCTTACTTTTGTGTAGGGAGATCTAGTACAAGACCTACGCGAGCAAGTATGGGAGAGTCTAACTCGTTATGGGTTAGCAAGATCAGAACCTTGGTTTATTATTGGCGATTTAAATGAGATTACTAGAAATCACGAAAAGGAAGGGGGGGGGTAAGGAGTTTGGCTTCTTTTATTCTTTTTAACAATATGATTCGGAATAGTGGGTTACTTGAGTTCCCGGCTAGAGGGAATACAATGTCATGGCAAGGACATAGGGAAATGGAAATGAGCAGTGATGATAAGATGTCGTCTCGACTGAGCATTAGCAAACGAGGAATGGCATACTTTATTCCAGTGTTCCTATACAGAATACTTGGGGATGGTTGGTTCAGATCATCGTCCAGTAGTTGCATACATGGAGGATAAAGTTTATAAAAGGAGGGGACAATTTCGATTTGATAAGAGGTGGATTGGGCAGGAGGGTTTTATGGAATCTATTGTTGCTGGCTGGACATAAGAAAACAATGGCCAGATGGATTATTTGGTCATCAAAATTAGTAATTGCCGGCATGAGATAGCAAAGTGGAGAAAAAATAATCCACCATATGAAAAGGAGAAAATCCAAGATCTCCAAAAGGCTCTGGAAGAGGTACAGATGGATGATAATAAGACATATGAGGATATTTTGGAAGTGTCTAGGAAATTACAGGATGCATACAAGGATGAGGAGGATTACTGGTATCAAAAGAGCCGTAATATGTGATACTCTTCGGGATATCTTAATACTCAATTTTATCATTCTTCAACAAAACAACGACGTGTATGTAACATAATTGTGGGCCTGTATGACAATGATGATAATTGGATAACAGAGGAAAATGGGGTGGAACAAGTAGCTGTGGACTATTTTGAGGAGTTATTTACTTCTACTTCCCCATCTGAGTTTGATAATTTTCTTGGAGAGGTTCCTTCAAAGATTACACCTCAAATGAATCAAAGGCTGCTGAGGCCGGCCATGGAAGAGGAGATTAGACAAGTTTTATTTATGATGCATCCAGAGAAGGCACCAGGACCTGACGGAATGACTGCGCTTTTTTTCCAGCACTCCTAGCATGTTATTAAAAAGGATTTGGTAGAGATGGTAAATCATTTTGGTCTCAGGAGTCTTGGATGCTCGTTTAAATATTACTCATATCTGCATGATTCCTAAGACGGAGAGACACGGAAGACGGAGCTTAGACCAATAAATCTATGTAATGTAGGATATAAGATCATATCAAAAGTGTTATGTCAACGGCTGAAAAGCTGTTTGCCTACGCTCGTATCGGAAATCCAATCGGCGTTCGTCCCAGAGAGGTTAATATCGGATAATATCTTAATTGCTCAGGAGATGTTTCATGGCTTAAGGGCCAATAAAGCTTGTCAGAGAAAGTTTATGGCGATAAAAATTGACATGAGTAAAGCTTATGATAGAGTGGAATGGTACTTTATTAAAGCGTTGCTCCACAAGATGGGTTTCGACCCTCATTGGACAAAGCTTATGATGGAATGTATATCATCGGTCCAGTATCAAGTATTGATAAATGGTCAACCTAAATGATCCATTATCCCGCAGAGAGGTTTAAGACAAGGGAATCTATTGTCTCCTTATCTATTTATTATGTGTACAGAGGCCTTAATTACCAATATGAAGAAGGCGGAGCAACAAAAACGATTAACAGGGATGAATGTTGCTAGAGCGTTCCCAGCGATCTCTCATCTTCTTTTTGCGGATGATAGTCCTTTGTTTTGCAAGCCGCAACCGGAGAAGTGTCAAACTATATTCACCAAACTTAAGGAGTATGAGGCTGTGTCAGGTCAATTAATAAACTTCCAGAAGTCTTCAATTCAGTTTGACCATAGGATTGGGGAAGAAACCAGACAAAAACTAAGGGATATCCTAGGGATTCAGAATATTGGAGGCATGGGAACATACCTAGGCCTTCTAGAGAGTCTGGGTGGGTCTGAAATACAGGTATTTGGATTTGTGCAGGAAATGTTAAACAAAAGGGTCAATGGTTGGACATTTAGGTTCTTTACGAAGGGAGGGAAATAAGTGATTATCAAATCAGTGGTAACGGTGCTACCAAATCATGTGATGTCCTGCTATAGGCTTCCTAAGGCAACTACAAAGAAGCTAACGAGCGCGGTATCACAATTCTGGTGGAGTCTTGGGGGTTTCACAAGAGAGATGCATTGGAATTCATAGGATAAATTATGTCTTGATAAGGAGGAAGGTGGTTTGGGTTTTAAGGATCTTAGGATTTCAACACGGCAATGCTAGGCAAACAACTATGGCGCCTTATTGAGAAACCAAATACTTTGTTGTCTCATGTTTACAAAGGTCGGTATTACAGGAATGCGTCACCCCTGGAACTGATCCAATCATACTCGCCGTCATATGGCTGGAGGGTTATGATCTCAGCTAGATCTCTGGTTAACAAAGGACTTATCAAACAAGTGGGATCTGGATCATTTATCTCAGTATGGAAGGATCCATGGCTCCCAACCACTCGCCCGAGACCAGCAAATAAAAATGAAGAAAACTTTTCTTCGGAACTTACAATGGCTTCTCTCATCAATTACAGATACGCGAACTTGGAATATGCCGGTTATTCCAGCTCTAGTAGATACCCAAGATGTGAAAATAATAGAAACCATCCCACTGTGTAGGATACATTTGGAAGATATGGATGAATGTCATTACACTAAGAACATAAAACACATAGTTAAGTCAGAATATCAAGTCGAAAGAGTGTATCCGGATAAGGGAAGGCAGGCGGGGATTCAGTGACCTACAGTGGATACATTGAAAGCGTATTTCTAGAAGGTAAGATGGCCTCCAAAGATAAGACACTTCTTATGGAAATTGCTATCGGGGTGTATTGCGGTTAAGAAAAACCTGTAGGCAAGAGGGATAAATGGTGATATATGATGTGATAGATGTGGCGCTGAGGAAGAATCGGTTAACTATGTCTTCTTCGAATACCCACCAGCACGACAAGTTTGAGCATTGTCAAAGATCCCTTTGAACACCGCAACTTTCCCTACAGAGTCACTGTTTACGAATATGGACCATTTATTCTGGAGGGTTATTCCTAAGATGGACGATGATCATTTCACATGGATACTGTGGTACATTTGGAAAGGGCGAAATAGCAAATGTTTTAGTAATTTGGATGTTGATCCGAAGGAAACACTTTCATTGGCGGAGACAGAATCAACTCTCTGGGAGGAGGCTCAAATAAAAGTAGCTCAGGGCGAAAATCAATCAGGGGGTGGCGCGGTCACACCGTCCATACCAGGGCGTTGGTGTTTTATTGATGGTTCATGGAATGATAAGGATATGTTTGATGGACATGGTTGGTATTGTACCCTCGAAGGTTTTGTGGGTTTAATGAGCGCAAGAAATGTCAGAGCGAGCCTCTCCCTCTACATTCGGAGATGGAAGCACTTATCTGGGCGATGAAGAGTATGAGGAATTTGCGTCAATATCATGTTACGTTTGCAACAGATTGTTCTCAATTGGTGAAGATGGTTTCGGAACCAGTCGAATGGCCAGCTTTTGTAAATTATTTGGCAGATATCAAGATGCTTCAAGGGAGTTTCAACAGCTCGGTAATCATCCATATACCAAGAACACTAAATTCAAGGATGGATAGTCTTGCACGCAGTGCGAGGAAATAATCGTCTTTTGTTGTTTACATGGATACAAAGTTACCGGTTTGATTAGCATAATATAGATGAGTTTGTGTTGTCGATGTTAAAAAAGAAAAATATATAAAAAAAGAAATATATTTGGAAATATGTATAGTAGTATAAAGAAATAAATATATTGTTTTGAAATATGAATAGTAGTATAAAGAAATGAATATTAGTGATTTAGTGTAAGTTTAATTATAAAATAGAAAGATGTATTTAATTTAAAAAATTTACAAAATAAATGTTATGTATATAACCTAATGTTTCTGATTTAATAAAATAAATGGAATGAGATTAGTGATATTCCTTTCAAACGTATCTAAGTGTTTTTAAGCAGCAATCTACGTAGTTTTACACATGTTTTGATAATTAGTAGTAGGTGTTTCATCAGCATTTTTACGATTATAAAATGTCAAACGTATCTATTATTCAAATTTTCATTTTCATGTACATGATTAGAAAAGTTAACAAACAGCAAAGCACAAAAAAGCAGTTTTGCTATCTCTTTCCCAAAAAGAAGATAAAAGATGAATTCATTGGTGAAATTAAACCCTCTTTGTTTTTCTCTCTCCTGTGTTTTCTATAGCTACACACATCAGTAAACTTTCTATTCCTCTCTGCTTTCGCTGTCTCTAGTAGCACTTCCTACACTCTGTTGTCTGTGTGTGAATCAACTCTTTTTGATTTTCCAGAAACAACCACACAAGACCAAGGTGCGTTCTCACATTTGAATCTCGAATCATCTGCTTTTTTTAATGGGTTTCTTGTTGTTATCATGTTTTATTTTAAAATGTCTCTGTCTTGTCTGTTCGTGTGATTTGCTCAGACATTAAGTTTCGAGGAAATTTTAGAAGAAAGTAATATAGTTCCTTCTTCCTCTACATTGGATTCCTTGAAAGTGACTCTCTTTTCCCAAAAAAGCTGCAGTTTTTTTTTTTTTTTTACTTTTTTGTTGTTGTTGTTGTTGCTTGCTTAGTCTCTCTGTTCTTCATCTAGTTTCATGAGTTTTATATAGCCACAAAGAAAAATAGGATTCTTTTTCAACTATGATTCCTTCTTCTGATCTGCTTCCAGGATGTTTCAGTTCTCAGTGTTCTAAGTAAACACTGTACATTGAAGCTTATGTTTATGTTAAAGATGTGGGCAAACTCTGTTCTTCATATTTTTTTGCTTACCCCCTGTTTGGTGATTCATGTAGGTCCTACTTAGATTAGTTTATTCAATTAGTATATAAACCAAGGAACGTAGATTACTAATAAGATCCTCAAGCCTGGTAATGTGTCAGTGACAAACAATTAAAACAGTCTATTTAGTAACATCTTCACATGCTTGAATCTGGTCTGAACGACATGTTGAGGCTTTTACTAAAACTATTCTCTGTATTGTTTTCAGGTCATATACTATGTAAAATTTCTCTCTGCTTAACCATATCACTGGAGATCTGTTTTTGGAACAATGGGAGGTTGTGTTTCTACTAGTAGTAAGAGTACGTGTAGCAGCTGGAGCAATGGAGATAAGCCTGTGCCTCGACCATATCTTGGGATTGGTTGTTGTGTGAGCAAAAGAGCCAAGAGAACGTTTTCAGACCATATTGTCTCACTGCAGAACTTGACCTCTATACCAAATCGTATCATCACAAGCAGTAAGAGCAGGAGTTCTTGCATTTTCACTCAGCAAGGACGCAAGGGTATTAACCAGGACGCCATGATTGTGTGGGAAGTGAGTTCTTCATTCTCTCTCTCTCTCTTTGTATGGATGACTATAAAGGGTGGCTTTGTGTTGCGTTTTGTAGGATTTTATGTCTGAGGATGTAACCTTTTGTGGTGTATTCGATGGTCATGGTCCTTTTGGTCATCTTGTTGCTCGCAGAGTGAGAGATACATTGCCTGTGAAGTTGCAGTCTTTCTTTCAGACACTTCAGTCAAAGCAAAACAGTCGGTTCAGAAGAAGTTCAAGCAAATCAGCTGTCCAAGAAGATGTTAAAGAAGGATCTGATGAAGATAAACTGAAAGGCTTGTGGGGAGAAGCTTTCTTGAAATCATTTAAAGCCATTGATAAGGAACTAAGGTCTCATCCTAATGTGGATTGTTTCTGTAGTGGCAGCACTGCTGTTACAATTCTCAAACAGGTAACAATTTTCTTTAAATCCGATTTATACAATTCAAATCAGTTTAAATTGTTCTAAGTTAAGTAATAATGTTAGTACAATTTTGCAGTGTCTTTTGTTTTGTATATCTGATTTTGACAATTAAAATATATATTTTATAATTAAATCCAAAATTAAAATATTTTATATAAGTTTTATATATATATAATATATATCAGGAATTCTTAACGTCTTTGCCATCTAGGCTCAGAATAATCCGCCTAGTTGCTAGTGTGTGCTTAGTTATGGTCTAGCTATTTCTTGAACATTGGTTTGATCTAACATGGTGTGTTTTGATTGTTCAGGGGCCTAATCTCTTCATGGGGAACATTGGTGATTCTCGAGCCATCCTTGGATCAAAAGACACTAATGATACTATGGTAGCAACTCAACTAACTGTTGATCTGAAGCCGGATTTACCGAGTAATACTTAATAACTTCTTATATTGTTTTTGGTTTTCCTAGTGTATATGCGTTTGTCTTAAGTAGGATTTTACTGTATTTTGTTGGTCTGATAGGGGAAGCTGAGAGGATCAAACGGTGTAAAGGTCGTGTCTTTGCTTTGCAAGATGAGCCAGAGGTGTCACGAGTTTGGCTACCTTTTGATGATGCACCTGGACTGGCCATGGCTAGGGCGTTTGGTGACTTCTGTCTGAAAGAGTATGGAGTCATTTCCATACCTGAGTTCACTCACCGTGTCCTTACAGACAAAGACCAGTTCATTGTTCTTGCCTCAGATGGAGTAAGTATATATGCTGACAATTGGTTCTCAGTTTGAGTGACTGTTGGGACGAAACTAATATTATTACATGTTGTAGTTTCGGGCTTTGGGGATTACTAGCTTCTGCCCCAATTTTTTTTTTTAAATATATATTTTAAATAAATAAGCTGAAAATCTTATCAGTTTTTGAGATTCAAGACTGAATTGTGTTCTTTTGATTGAACAGATTTGGGATGTGCTAAGCAATGAAGAAGTGGTTGACATTGTATCTTCAGCTTCAAGCCGTGCATCAGCAGCTAGGATCTTGGTGAACTCAGCTGCACGTGAGTGGAAACTGAAGTACCCTACTTCAAAAATGGATGATTGTGCAGTGGTGTGTTTGTTTCTTGATGGGAAAATGGATTCTGAGTCGGATTACGATGAGCAGGGCTTCTCTTCAGCAACAAATGCTGTAGAATCAGATGATGGACAAAGATCAGAACCGTGTCTACAAAGAAACTTCACAGTTAGATCATCATCAGATCAGGAGAATGAGACTTATGGTAATGTGAATGCAGATACTGAGGGAGAGGATGAGAAAACTGTAGGAGATCAAAACTGGTTGGGGCTAGAAGGTGTTACACGAGTGAACTCACTCGTCCAGCTTCCGAGATTCTCTGCAGAAAATTCCAAGACTTGAGATTAGCTTCTTAATTTTATCTCTAAGAACTGTTTCTGAGAAAAAGTACTTTGTTGTTGTCTCTTAGGTTGTTATGCCTAAACATTGTGAGCCACTCAAATCTGTTTTTTTTTTCCTTGGCTTGTGTTTGTCTTTCCCCACATCGATTCTCTCTCAGAATCTATGAACCAAATGTATGTAAACATGTTTTAGGTTTCTATCTATATAAGAAGAAGAAAAACTGTGCTTGCTGTTTTTGACAGTATAACCCCAATGAATTCAATACAAGCAACCTAAAGAAGGCTTGGGGGTACAGGAATTACACCATATGTAACTAATGGCCAAAGTTTGTAGCCTGCTGCCTGCACGAACATAATCATGACAAATAAAGATATTTGTAAATAAAATATCAACTAACTTTAAGCTTTACATGATTATATTATGAAGAAAAAGGCAAGGAGAGATGAGATAAAATATCAACTAACTTTAAGCTTTACATGATCACTGGCCAATATTTCGTTTTGACTTGGATGAAAACTTTGGCTTCTATGGTTTTTTCAACTTTAGTTGATTATCTTTGGCTTGTATGGTTATTTCTGTACCAATTCTCTTGGTAAAAATGTATCCTTTACACTCAAGTACATCAGTTAATTGAAGCACTAACACTAGAAAAAAAAAGGAGCTATTGTGACAGAATTTTGAGAAAAAAACTATTTTACCACAAATTGTTATGTTTTGGAGACAGTAATATGACTAAACTGTTCTGTTATAAATTAGTATTTTTTTCGTAACTATATTGTGGTGATAGTGGTAATATAGTTTTGTCACAATTAGTAACATAAATATGACGAAAGTTTTGGACAGCTTAGTATAGCTTGGAAGGGCCGGGCAATCGGGGTCCCAATCGGGTTTCGGTTCGGGTTCATTCGGGTTTCGGGTTTTCGGGTTTTCGGGTTCATGAATTTAAGCCCCATTCGGATATTATAAAAATTCGGGTCGGATTCGGTTCGGGTTTAGTCGGGTTCGGTTCGGGTTTAGTAACATGTCAAAGATCCGGTTGAAACCGAAATAGTTTCGGTTTCGGATACTAATCGGGTTATCGGTTCTAAAAATACTAATTTATACTCAATTAAACTCACTATATTTTCAATCATTTTATTAAATTTGTGTATTTAGCTTCTACAAACCATATTGTTCTCCTTCAAAATAATATTGTAAAACTCATCTATCAACCATATAAGATTTGTCAATGAACTATATGTGACAACACTAAACATATCATGATTAATGACAAACCAAAGCCTTGTATGAACGAAATATAATACATAATGAAATATAAAAAATTAAAGTTAACAACTAACAATTCTATAAACATAAGAAGTTCTATTTAAACTTTTAAAAACAACATTATATAAACTTCAAAACAAATTTATTCGTAACTTAACTTCAAATGTAATGTCAATCATAAACATTAATATTAACCAAATAACACTATATATTAGACTAAATATTTGAGTTAATTATTTATATCATAACTAATCATTGTAGGTACTCAATAATATATTAATCTGTTTTGGAAACATATTAGAAATTTAGATTGGATATGATACAAGTTTTTTTGGAATTTTAAAGTTTCGGGTTCTTTCGGATATCCATTTAAGTTCGAGTTCGGTTCGGGTTCGGTTCGGGTAATATCCATAACCCGAAATACCGTAAAGCAAGATCTATTCGGTACTTATGTCAGGTTCGGATCGATTTGTGTTCTTTTTTATCGGGTCAGATTCGGTTCGGATTTTCGGATTCGGTTTTTTTTGCCCAGCCCTAGCTTAGATATGAAATTAAGTAAGCTTATGTATATATCAAGGTATTTGAAAGTTTGTTTTTGCTCATTGTTATTGCTATATAGGAAAATATACCATTAATAGTTTTTTTTTTTTGGGTGAAAGTATGGGAGATGCCTCCCAATTTTATTAAAAAGCCAACATCAACTATAGTCGAGCAAGTCTAGGCCTTGCAGGTCCATAAACATCCTCTTGAGCAAAAACAACAAGCTCAGGTGGAATAACAACAAAATTATGAAAACCAACAGGAAGAGAAAATGCAAGGTTAGCTAAACCATCAGCTAAGCGGTTTACTTCCCTATACACCTGAACAACACGGACTAACCAGTCCCTTTTAAGCAAGCCATGGCACAAGTGTACCAGGAAAGATAATGGATGAGTGTCCTCAATCCCTGTCTCAAGAAACTCCACCACCACCTCCGAATCAACTTCAACCTCCAGACTTCGTATCCCCTTCTCCAAAGCGAGTACCAGGCCGTAGTACACTCCCCAGAGCTCTGCCAAACTAGCTCCACAGCTTCCGATATTCAGAGCAAAGCCACCAAGCCACTCTCCATCCCTGTTTCTTAGTGCTCCTCCCGCCGTCGCCAATCCCGGGTTCCCCCTCGAAGCACCATCTGTGTTCACCTTCGACCAACCCAGAGGTGGTGGTCTCCACTGCACCATAACTTCCCTGCCTTGTCTTCCGTTTCCAGGCGTACTCTTAGCCGCGTTCGCATTAACTAACTCCCTCGCCATATTCCGCAAGAATAAGACTCTATCTCTCCATAGCCGGGTCTCTCCAAAAACGTTTCCACACCTCCACTTCCAACCCCACCAAACAGCAAGAGCGAATTTTGTCGGCCACGGAATTCCATCTCTCACTTCAGTGTCACTCAAGTTCTTGTACATCCATTCTAGTATTGGAGATGAAAAGAAAGCTTCCTTCTTCCTCTCTGGTACGAAGCGATCCCATATACCTTTCATCGCTGGACAATCTCTAAGAACATGTAATATTGTCTCAATACCTCCCCTGCACACTTGACACACGTCTGTACCACTCAGATGGCGTCTAAATCTTTCAGCATTCGTCATTATGGCTTGATTAGCAATTAACCACAAGAAAGTTCTCACCCTTTCTGTCGCCACTACCTTCCACAACTTGCGAAAAAAGAGCTCCATGTCCTGTCCAGGTGTCTCATCCCGTGTAATTAACTCATAAGCTGATCTAACCGTGTACTGGCCGTTCATGGTTGCACACCACGACAACCTATCCTCGCCTCCAGAGACGATATCAACCACCCTTGATCCTAGTTCAAGCCATGTCTCCTCCGATACGTAAGGAGTAATAAGAGTATTATCCCATCCTCTCCCATCCTCCGATACGTAAGGAGTAATAGGAGTAAAAATACTAATTTATACTCAATTAAACTCACTATATTTTCAATCATTTTATTAAATTTGTGTATTTAGCTTCTACAAACCATATTGTTCTCCTTCAAAATAATATTGTAAAACTCATCTATCAACCATATAAGATTTGTCAATGAACTATATGTGACAACACTAAACATATCATGATTAATGACAAACCAAAGCCTTGTATGAACGAAATATAATACATAATGAAACATAAAAAATTAAAGTTAACAATTAACAATTCTATAAACATAAGAAGTTCTATTTAAACTTTTAAAAACAACATTATATAAACTTCAAAACAAATTTATTCGTAACTTAACTTCAAATGTAATGTCAATCATAAACATTAATATTAACCAAATAACACTATATATTAGACTAAATATTTGAGTTAATTATTTATATCATAACTAATCATTGTAGGTACTCAATAATATATTAATCTGTTTTGGAAACATATTAGAAATTTAGATTGGATATGGTACAAGTTTTTTTGGAATTTTAAAGTTTCGGGTTCTTTCGGATATCCATTTAAGTTCGAGTTCGGTTCGGGTTCGGTTCGGGTAATATCCATAAACCGAAATACCGTAAAACAAGATCTATTCGGTACTTATGTCAGGTTCGGATCGATTTGGGTTCTTTTTTATCGGGTCGGATTCGGTTCGGATTTTTGGGTTCGGTTTTTTTTGCCCAGCCCTAGCTTAGATATGAAATTAAGTAAGCTTATGTATATATCAAGGTATTTGAAAGTTTGTTTTTGCTCATTGTTATTGCTATATAGGAAAATATACCATTAATAGTTTAGAAAGTCTTTGAAGCTCGATTTTCTTTTAGTATTTTCATTCATTATTTTTATTGAATCCTACACAAATGCTGTCGAGTTTGTTGTGTCTACTTGAATTATGTCCGCAATCGTCTTGACACCAAGCTTATATTGTTCTTTTTTTTCTTTTCATACTTTCTGCTTGATGCAATTTAATTTTGATGCAGTTAATATGTCAAAAAAATTCATTTTTATTTGCTTACAAATACTTTTGTCTATTTTACATGCTAGTAGTATCGACCCTGAGGGGAAGCATTACAAGCAACAACTTCTAACCCTTAAAAAATATTTAAAAATCAGCCTTTTTTACAAGAAAATTATTATTATGATATTTAAATGTTTTTATAAAAATAGCCAATTTTTAAAAAATTACTTCTGATCTTTCCTATGTCAAGACCGGTACTACATGCTAGCTCTGTGTGAAAGATGCTTTCAAGAAGTGGAAAATGGTTGGAACACGTGTAGGCAACAAACTACTCTTGAAAGAGCCATCAGCCAATGTTATTTTGTCAGATTACATTCCATCGGAGTCATTAGAAATGCAAGGCTGTGACATATTGGGCAAGGGTACACTTGATGATGTCTCCAATTAAGGTATATACACGACCTGAATATGAAAATACATGGACGACATGAAGTGATTTCTCTAATTACTCTAACGTGTAATAATTTTTTTTTCCAACAAATAATAGGAATTCTAAATAATACTTTAAAATTTATTTTTCTAATATTAGCTCATTATTTATTAATAGAACAAAATGAGTAGTTGACGACATATATATGCATATGCTAGACAATTATCATAATTTAATCCCCTAAATTTTCAACTAAGGATCTACCTAAGCAAAATTTCAGTACCCATAAAAGATCAGGACTACTAACACAACGAATATTAAAGATCAAGAACAAGAAAAAAGGCTATAAAAAGCAATACCAACAAAACACAAGCTTCACACCTAGGAATATTTATTCTTTGGTATTTCATTGTAACTTCGAAAAAATAAAAATCAAATTGGAGACAGTCGCAAATATATAATAACAATCAAAACATCCAAATCCAAATACAAAAAACAAAGAACAAATAAAAATTTCATACAAAAGAATTAACTCTAAAAAATACATTATATTATGCGCGTAGCACGGACCGTTTCTAGTGATTAATAATATATATATATATATATATATATATATATATATATATATATATATATATATATATGACAATTAATGATTTTGAATAATAAAGATTTGATAACAGTTTTTGTATCCTCTGTTATTTTTTTTTTAGTTTATACTATTAAAAATCAAACAATAACTTAAACCACATAATAAAAAATCTATTTTTTAATTCTTATATGTTATATTTTGAATTTTTTAAAATGATTATAAATTACTAAAACTATTGAAAGTCATACAATTTTTATATTTTATGAACAATGGTTGTATTTTTATGTTATAAAAATATACAAATGATCAGAAAATCATATGAATATGAAGTATCTTTTAATTGATATTAAAACTAAATATATACATTAATATTGTTTAAATTAAATTATATAAATATAAAATAATATATGTTAATTTCAAAATTTCATTGAAAGCGTATTACAACCCGAATATTTTAAGTTTGAATTTTGCATTGAATGTTTGAAAAGGATCATAAATTACTAAAACTATAAAAAAATCTAACACTGAAAATTTTGTGATTAATAATTTTTTTTGTTACATCAAATATACAAATATTTTTAAAATCCTATGAGTAGAATAACTAAGAAGCTTCAATTAATATTTATATTAAAATATACTATATATCTATGTCAATATCATTTAAATTTAATTACATACCATATAAAATACATAGATGATTGCTTTGATTTATGTGCTTACTCTGGTTTAATTATGGATATAACATTTACTTGATTCTCAGTTATTCAGTATAAATGACCATAAAATAAATAATAATATATATAAATAATGTTCATCTCGCGCAATGCGCAAGTTTTTGTTGATGTATTACAGTTTGAATCTTCTCTTAATTGATCGAAGCTCGTGTTTTCTGAGAAAGGTTGCGCAAAATTAAATTAGAACAAAAAAATGTGAGTTAACAGAAACACTATCTAAAGTACACATATTGTAGATTTAAACAAGAAATCAACCATGGAGAGTCAAAGAAGTATGAGATCAACCAAAATCCTAATTCTCTTTTCCACAGTAAGTCAGCATTTTCAATATTTGTCATTTCTATATCTGGTAAAAGAGTGTACAAGAAATTATTATTTTTTGTATTGTTTCTGCCCTAATATTTAATTAATTGAGATTTTATGAAACGAGTTTATCAACACCTTAACCCGATATGCAGCATCATTATACTATAGGTCCACAATATATAACAACTTTTGAATTTATGACACGATGTAATTGTTTTCTAAAAAAAAAAGTTAATATACAACAATCATCATTAGTAATAAAATTCATTCCGTGCATGCTCGCATGTTATCAACTAGTATTATATATATGACAATAACAAGTGGAATCCACCTAACCAACTACCACGTTACTGCATCAACGTTATAGAACGTTATAACGGAGCTTTCAAGCAACATGGACAGCTATAAAAAAAAGTGGCTTTACAAGCGCAATAAGTCCAACATTAGAGGCATTAAAAATGGATGAGAAAGAGATTCCAAAGAAGTTGAGAGACAAAGAAGAAAACCTAAGTGAAGAAACGAAAAGCTTGATCGCTGCACTTCCTTCGGACATAGATGGCTATGGGATCAAGATTTTCAAGTACCAAGGATGTTGGTACGACAACCAAAGACTCCATTCAATCCTTAATTACCAGGTAGGTTTTCAGCCACAAGAAACCGATATAGTTGTTGCCTCTTACCCCAAATCGGGCACGACTTGGCTCAAGGCACTCACATTCACGCTACTTCAACCATTAAGACACCCTTTGGATGATCATCATCATCCCGTGCTAAACCACAATCCTCATGAGCTAGTTCTATTCCTGGAGGAGATCTACCGTAATAGCTCAATACCGGACTTACAAAAACTCTCAGCATCTCCACGATTGTTCTCAACTCATATGCCGTTGCATATCCTTAAAGTACCTTTCAAGGATGACTCTCCTTGCAAGATAGTGTACGTGTGCAGGAACGTGAAAGACGTGTTGGTTTCTCTTTGGCTCTTCAAAAAGTCATGGCTTGGAAAAAACGTTGGAGTGGAAAAATGCACCCTCGAGGTTTTATTTGATTATTTCTGTAGAGGAGTTGCTTTATATGGTCCCTTTTGGGAACATGTCTTGAGCTATTGGAGAGGAAGTTTGGAAGATCCCGAGCATGTGCTCTTCATGAGGTACGAGGAGTTGAAAACAGAACCTCATGCTCAGATCAAGAGACTCGCAAAGTTCTTGGGTTGTCCTTTTACTGAGGAAGAAGAAAAAAGCGGAAATGTGGATAAGATCTTGGAGCTCTGCGCTCTGCGTAATCTAAGTGGTTTGGAAATCAACAAAACCGGGACATGGAAGACCGGAGTAGGTTTCAAGAGTTTCTTCCGTAGAGGAGAAGTTGGTGACTCTAAGAATTATCTGACTCCTGAAATGGAAGCCAGGATCGACATGATTATAGATGAGAAACTTAAAGGTTCAGGTTTGAAATTCTAGTGTTATCTATGTGTGGTTTTTGAATTATGCCGGTTTAAGCTTTTCTTGAATGCTCCTTTGATGTAAGTTTAATAATTTATTCTTTCCGGCTCTGCCTATCTTATTTATGAGTAAAGTCTTTAATGTTACTTAAAACGTTGAGTACTATCACCACTGATGTTGCCCCAAAGGCAAGTAAACATTGCATTGAAAATGTCTCTTATAAATGGGGTTGACTGAGTACCGTATTTACTCTTTACTTTAAAATCTTATATATTAAAACAGAAGTCATGACTTGACTTCATGTGTGATTTTTTAAAAAATGGACTATTACTAAAAAGTCATGTTACATTAACTCTTTAATAATTTTATCATTATTATATCTTATGAAAAATCATATCTATAGTAACAAATATACGCTTAACAATTCCGTTTTGATAAATTATCTCACACCTTCCAACTTAGTCACGCAAAATATGTCAAAAGATATAAGTTTATGAATCTTCTATTATTTATAAGGAAATATGTCAATAATAGTTAAATGAATCCACAATATATTAACAAAAATCACATATTCGTAAAAAAGAATATTTATATACCCTAACAAAGTTTACACGCTATATATACTAGATAAATTTATTTCGATGTAAAATTTTAAAATTATATTGTTTTAAAAAAAGAAATTCTTTAAAAAATTATTTTTAATAAAATTCTTTATGATATTAATTTATGAAGCTATAAGTTTAGTTTTTAGCAAAAATTTCTTCAAAGTTTATATTATCTTTGAAAATTAAAGTATACTAATATTTAACCAAGCTCTACTTATATTAATTTATCTAAAAATGAAATACTAATCTAACAAACAATAAAATCTAGAAGAAGAAACAAATACATGTTTGAAAAACATGTATAATATAGAAAATTTGAAATAATCTATTTGATTAAAACATTGTATTATATAATATTATTATCTTTGAAAAACATTTACTATACATATCGTAAATATGTGATTACTATGATATATACCAATTTACAAGTGAAAACAAAATGTTTATATAACTACTTCTACACGAAAACAAACACCCGCGCGGTTGCGCGGATCAAAATCTAGTATACATTACGATGTCAATCTATATAAGGTGGGCACGAAACGAATACTAGCATAATTTGCAATATCTATGATTTATTTAGTATATTAAAGATTTTTAGATTGTTTTGTTTCGGAATGATACGAATATCCAAAAAAATATATGAATATTTGCAGATATTTAATAATACTTACTAATTTCTTTAAAATATGTTTTTACATAATATATAAAATTAAAAATTAAAAGAAGTAGTGAAACTGTAAATTTTAAACGTAGTAACAATAACAATAAGAAAACTTAAGAGAAAGTCATAATTGTCATAAATTTTTGTTTCTTTCTCTATGTAATAATATAAAGAAAAATTATTAAATAATATATTAGAATAAAAATTACATAAACTCATATATTTAGAACTCTAAATTTAATCAAGATATACATGTATTTATATATCTAATCGAGCGAAACAAATATCCATCTCGCAAATTTTAATATTTTGATTTGTTTCTATTTTAACGGATACTAATTTTTATTATTTGCTTTTCTTTAAAAGTTTACGGATAGCTGAATTTTTTATATCAAAATAAATAACGAATCGAATTAATTTGATGGATAAAATGTCCAGTACTAAATGTGTATTTTATTTGAAACACTAAAGTTATATCAACATGCCGTCCAACAACACTACAACAGCCATTGCCTATACTCTATAGACCATTTTAGTGAATTAGGGATAATATACATTGAGATATTAATGCTTCCAAATAACTATGTTGATATACCAGTAAGTAAATAAAGTATCTTGTATACCAAAAAGAATTTTGATCTGATTGATATAATGAGGAAATACCACAAGTTAAGTACAACTTTTTAAAAATACCACCAATAAAAAAATACTAATATTTAGGTATATAATTTAATTATTATTGTTTATGGCTTAGTAGTTAGTATTAAAGGGTTGGGGTTAGGTTTAGAAATGTTCTAAAAATATTTAAAAATTAGCTTAGTATTATTTTATCATAAAATTTAGGATATTTGTGAACATAGTCATTTATGGATGGTAAATTTGAAAAGTGATATTACACTTGTGGTAGAACTGAAATTTCTCCTATAATGAGTCTAATACAAGTTATTTGTTTGTTAAAATCCAATTACAAGCTAATTTGTATACCTATATAATCACAGATTGTCACAGGGAAAATAACTTATTTAAACCTAAGCTTTTATGCATCGTGTCTATTCATTTTCGAACTTTGTAATAGTGTGTATTTCATGCTGAACTAAACAAAGATTCAAAAATGCTACACGAATTTTACATATTGTGCCTTTTCATTTCCAAACTTTATAGTAGTACATATTTCATATTGAACTAAATAAATATGCAAAAGTACAACATAAACTCTCAAAATAGTGATTATATATATTAACTGTCAAATGTGTTAGTCTTCCGTTAGTTTAACAAAATGACGTTATTTTAGATAAATTCAGGAAAACTAATAAAAAAAAAAATTAGATGAACTCACAAAATTGTGCTTATACATACTGACCGTCAAAGGTGTTAGTCATCCGTTAATTTATCAAAACAACGTCATTTTGGATAAATTCTGTAAAATTAAAAATTAACTTTTAGGAGGTTTGAACTCTTACACTGGTGAACTAACACGATTTGAGAGTTCATCTCATATTTTAAAATTTTTAATCTTATAAAATTTATTAAAAATGATGTTGTTTTGAAAAATAACAGATAATACCTTTGAAAAATAAACACGAATTTGAGAGTTCATGTAGTATTTTGAATTTTTCGTTTAGTTCAGTATAGAATATGCACTACTATAAAGTTTTGAAATGGCACCATGCGTAAAGTTTATGTAGTATTTAAAAAAAAAAAAATTAGTATAAAATATGCACCATTACAAAGTTTGTAAAGGAATAGGCACAATGCGTAAAGTTCAGATTGAAATATTTTTTTTCCCCGATTGATACAGGGGTGAAGCCAGCAAAGAGAGGGAGGGCACCAGTGGTGGATGTAGGTGAGCCAAGTTGGTGGCATTTGCCCCCATGAAAATTTCAAGTTCTTTATAACATGTATGAACTGTAAGCTTATTTTCTATGTTTATATTTGATTTGCCTCCTACTAAAATTATATTTTAATTTTGTTTTTTATGTTTATATTTGATTTGTCCCCAACAAATTAAAATCCTACATCCGCCAGACAGGGCACCCATCTTCTCTATTAAAAGAGAAGTACCAAATTTATCTACTATTTAGAAGTTATGTTGGACTATGTCATTAATTATTTTATTTGACATTTTTTATTGTTACATTAACAAATCAAATATATATTATTTTCAAAATATCTTAATAATTAATAAGAATATTAATAATAAACAAATTTGAATATAACAAAATCTGTTGAAAATATCTAACAAGATCTTACCAAAAACATTTAATATTTTTATAGAATAAGTATTTCTTTATTTCGTTATCATATATAATTATTATTAAAACTAAAATATAAATCAAGTGTTTAAAAAATTTAGTTATAACTTTATAAAATAAAAAATATACCCGCACGGATGTGCGGGTGAAACTCTAGTAATTTATTAAAACAGTATATTTCTTAAATTTTTTTATATACATCATTATAATTTTAAATTTACATGGATTATAATGCGGGTTGGAAAAATAAACCAATTCATGCCTCCGCAACTACCACACCATTTCTTTTATAGCTGACATGTCTCTCAAGATTCGACGATCACTTGTTCGTATACAGTAGGTAAAAAAATGTCTTGACTTTTTCTTACTTGTCTAGTTGGTGTCGAATTTAAAATGCAACAGACCTTTATCATTGTATTTGTTGATGATATCTGTTATTGATATTCCGCAACTAAAGTAGGTGTTAGATAAATCATTTTTTGGTATTATTTACAACACATACTATTTTTCTAGTGTATTTGTTTATAAAGCATACCATTTAGATGGCTTTGTATATTCTATTCAAATAAAAACACATTAATCAAAGTTTTGGATTTGCTATGTTTTAATTTTATAATAGGTGTTTTCATGCACTATGTGTAGCGATCAATTTTAAAATTATATTTAAAAATAAAATTTGTAATATTTTAGTTTTTACTATTTTATACCATTTTTAATATAAATACTGATTTATCTAAACATAAATTAAGATAAAATAAATAATTTGATTTATTTTAAATTATATTAAATATATATACATATATATATATTTAAAATTTAATCTTAAATAGATTTTCATTAATTTATTTTGGTTAATAGATATTAAATTAACTCGTATATTTTTCAAAATAATTGATAATTTTTTTCTAATTATAAAAAAAAACTAAATAAATTTTATAAAAATTATAGATATCAAAAGGAAACAAATGATATTACGATTAAAAATTTATAATTTCAAAGATTTTATAATTTTTTTAAAAATCTTGTTTAGTAATAAAAAAATGTAGATTTTAAAAATAAAGATAAATAATATTTCAAAAATTGTAAAATATTTTATATTATTTAATGTCAATATTTGAATATATTCATTTTAATGATAATGTATAACTTATTATCATTTTCTAAAAATCTTAACAAAAATAGAAAACAACATTAAATATAATTGTCATGTCATATTTCATCTTTTAAGTTTGTTATCTTTTAATCAAACTAATACCAGCCTATTGTATAACAAAAGTGAACTATACCAAACCAAACCATAATAAAGTGAATCGGACTAAATCTAAATCAAACCGAATCAAATTAAACACAAACCAAACCCCAACCAAAGCAACTTCGGTTTTGATTGGGTTGAAGTTTATAAAACTCAATTAACCAAACCAAACTTAAATGAATCCAAAACTAAACCGATATACCCACCCCTATTAGAGAGCACGCAACTTAACATGAGCTAGAGTCATTATAAGGACTTACTGAAGATGACATATGTTTTTTTTTTTTAAGGTGATACATTAATAATGCCAAAATCAAACAGAACAATTTCCGCGCACAGTGCTGGTCATGATCTAGTTTGTTTATTTTTTTAAGGTGACATTAATAATGCCAAAATGTTATTATAAGG